TTTTAGGAAACCTTATCCAGAAAGTAACACTCTATTTTTTGCATTTTCCTTTGCATTTTCTTTGCAACAAAGTGAGAAGTTTCAACAACTAAAATAAGTGGGGGCAAAGGAGCAAATCAGCCTTATTTTAATGTAGAGCTTAGCCCGAATTGGCTACAGCATTCTATGTAGTTTGTCTACAATGCAGCTCCATTTTCACAGAGAATGCACAGGGGTCTTGGGCCAAATGGGTAATAAAAAGAGATTTTGCCTGGCCTTATTCTCTACTGACCTGTGCTCCCCTCCAAAAACTATAGATGGCATAACTTATGCTAGTTAAGGTCCATAGGTATTTGCTTTCAATTTTTATGCTTTGAAAACATTTTTCTTCCAATGCTAGCTATAATTAGAAGTACCTCCCACCATCTTCCCTTTTCACCAACTCTCTAGCAACAAACGTCATCAGACTCCTATGTGTTCACATATCTTAAAATCATTTATAACCAATTTTGCATTTAATTGTGTCAAGTGCACAAATTAGCACGATGCTGTAATTGGGAGATTTGGAAGATCTGTTTTAGATATTTCTGGAGCCATCTGGGATGGGGCATAGTATGTACTGACCTGGATGTCCACAGCGAGGGGCAGGGCCGCTCCAGATCCCGTTCCCTCGACTGTCACTTGTGCAGCGGATGGTGCGTTCCCCAATGAGACTGAAGTTCATCCCTTTGTCTGGTTGGGGATCACAGGTGTAAGTTACTTCTTTTCCAAAAGAAAAGATTTCCAGAGGTTTTCCTGTGTGTCTTCCATTACGAATATCTGGAGGATTTGGACATAAGATTTCTGGAAAGAACGCAAGAGCTATTAGTTTCATTGAGGAGCTTCCACTGGAAGTATTCTGCAGGCATAGGATGCTATGGATGGTGCTACCTAGAAAACACCCATGACTGTGTATCTTTGCTGTAGACCGTTGATGAGATGGGCTAAATGAAATAAGATCTCGATCTCATTTTTCATGGGAAAATGTACAGAAGAAATTTGCTTATTTTGAATCTTCCTGCTAGTTAAGTCTTCTGGATAAAGCAAACTTAACACCCTTGAATTAAGTACCAAAACTTGTAAAGAATAATAATAACCCTTTAGAGGATAATTCACTCAACTACTAAATAAATATTACTTGAGCACATACTCTGTGTCACTCACTCATTGGAGCCCTGGAATATGGTGATGAAGAACACAGATAAAGTCACTGTCCTCAAGGAAGAAATTTTCAAAAAATGTTTTTACAAAGTATTCCACGTGTGCTAATCACCTTAAAGATGTGAAACTTTTCGATACTGGCCATTGATCTTGATTATGACTGTGCTGCCACAGTGAATTGAAGCCTCTGCGGTCATTGTAAAAATTCTAAGCAACTCGGATTGCTTTGTTTTTTAAAATGTATGGATATATGATAGAATTTTCTTCTTTACTTTCTGTCAGGCTTCCACTTGTTACTTCTTTCTAGTATTTGGTTGTCTGTATAAAACAGTCCCCTCCTCACTTCTAGTTGGCGTTTCTAACTAGGCTTGGTGTTTTGAGGAAGCTACTTCAATAGTAAGAGTCATGAAAATAAGATGTCCAATCAATAACTGAGCTCTCATGCACGCCAGCAGGACAGCCACTTATCATTCTCATCAAGAAACATTGGATGGTAGATAATAGTATGTAAACTATTTTCTCATAAGTTTTACTATAAAAAGCTTATTTTGATGTCTGAGTAGATTTCTCCTAACATAAACGTTGTAAT